TACACAGAAAACTGAAGAAAATGATTTGTAGAATAAACTACTACAGAACCAAATGTTTATACAGGGACCTATTCCAAAGTAATTGCATTTGAAATGCTCGCAAGCTTCACACAAAATACTTTTCAGCAGGGGAAAGCCTCTAGAACCTGTCTGTCCATAGAGGCATGGCAACTGTCCTGGGTAAAATGTCATCAGGAACTGCAATGGATGATCTTATTCTGTCCATCAAACCAGCAGGAGAAGGCAGAATCATGGAATTGATGCGAGTGGAAAAGGCCTCAAGGATCACGGGGCCCCCAGCACTGCCAAGGCCACCACGTCCCCAAGTGCCACATCCACGTGGCTTTTCAATCCCTCCCTGGATGGGGACTCCCTTGGGACTGTGGGGACTCTTAGGACCTTGTTTAAAACAACCACAAAAATCCCCTTGTCCATTAAAAAGCGAGTTATTATTGGCTATAAATCCAAGTATAAAGAACTGAATGGAAAATGGGGAAAAAGAAGACCACGCTCAGAACTTCTCACCAGTCTTCAGGATGCATTTTGCAAACTCAGAATGGTAAAACCCACTCGTTATCAAATTTAGGGAGCTGCTATCTAGCAGCAGAGAAAGCAGAAGCTCAAGCACTGTGCTTTAATTTGTGGCAGATAAAGAGATTGATGCCATAAAAGAGGCAAATCTTTTTTATTAAGCTCTACAGCAAATTAGAAGGAAAAACCCTGCGGACCCCGAGATGTTATGGTCTATTTTAACTTTTGCTGCAGTCTGCAATCTTTATCCATTTTATCAAAGAATTAGACATGCCTAGCAGGCATGATGGCATCTATTCTTTCTTTTTTATTTTTTTTTGCCAGTTTAGTACTTTTCCTCTCATAAAATACTCTAAGCTTGTCTCCAGTAATCCTCCCAAATCTCTAACCCTTGCTGAGACAAGGAGGGCAAAAACCATCAGCCTACAAACACACTTCAGCCTTCCTATGGAGAAAGTTACCAGGGCCACGACAAACCCAACTTTTCTGCTCTGACTTCTCATTTCTCCACTCTCCAGCTTTCCATGTGACCCTTTCAGCCAAGGAGAGGAAGGGGAGACAGGGTAAACCACAGACAAATACAAACCAGAGGAGGGGAATGTTTTTTGGGGATTTTTTTTTCAGCTTTTGTAAATCCTGTGATGATAATCTCCTAAATGGTTTGCTGGGGAGCATCAGCAGGCCCACATTTTTTTCCTCCCAGAAAGCACAGAAATTCCTGTGCAGTGCTCAGGGTTTTCTGCACATCCATAGTAAACAAAACCCAGAGGAGCTCTGGAAAAATTATCCAAGTCCCACTCACACTCTAAAAAATCTGTGAGGCTCCGTCATCATCAACAGAAGCTCCTTCCCTATGTGGTTCTTAAAAATAAAGAGCTCCCACAAATTTCAGATCTGCAAATGCTGGATATGCCTTAAAAGCTGGATCTTTGCTGCCTGGGATCCTAATTACAGGCCTGGGATTCCTGCTTCAGATGCCCATGGCACACCTGTCCTCAGCAAAAGAAAATCCTAGCAATTCCCAATTGTTGCTTCCCATTCAAGCTAAAAAACAAACATAAAACCCCACCTCAAGATTATCCACCCAACAAAGCACTGTTAAAGCAGAGCATGACATCAAATATAGATCATGGGCATGTTTCTGGATTGATTTTACATTGATTTTACTCTCTCTCTGCCCAGGTGGACAGGTAGGAAGTGCAATCACATCCTGACTTTCTCCAAAAATCAGGTTTACACAATTTTTACTGGGAAAAAGTTCCCCTTGGCAGGGTGGGCAGGCCCTGGCACAGGGTGCCCAGAGCAGCTGTGGCTGTCCCTGGATCCTGGAATGTCCAAGGCCAGGCTGGACAGGGCTTGGAGCAGCCTGGGACAGTGGCAGTGTCCCTGCCATGGCAGGGGTGGCACTGGATGGGATTTAAGGTCCCTCCCAAGCCAAATCCTTCTGGGATTCTATGAATGTGCATAAATAAACACAGCCCTGCCACTGACATTCTTCCCTGGTATTTAGGGATATCAGTGTTTTTGACACAAAAGTAGGAACAAAGTGATCCAGTTGAGTGGAAGGAACAAGAAGGTGACACAATTTAAACAGCTCTGGAGAACTGTGTCTGTCCAACTGATATTTGAGTCACATGGAAATAATTCCTAAATTTTTTTTCCCTCTTTTAAATAGCCACACAGATTAAGAATCAGTATTTTTAAATTCAGAGACTTAAAAGACCATCAACAGGTAAAAAAGCAGACCAGTGGATTTTATTTGTCACTGAAACAGAAATCTTCATCTGTTCACTGAAGGGATGCACGGCACGAGAATCCAGCAGCACCCAGAGGGACCGAGGGACTGGAATTTGGAACCAGCAAAAAGGAAATACTACAGAGCACGCCAGGAGCTGTTTCCTAGTCAGTCATTCTGGGTGGGATATCCCTACGGACTGAAGGGGAGAAATGAGGGATTTTAAGTAGCAAAGCTGGTGAGGAAGATCAGGGCACAGGCAGGAGGGAGCGAAGCGGGGACAGGAACAGGGAGAGGAACAGGCCCGGCACAAGGAGAGACTTTGGGAATTGCAGAGGAAACAGAAAGTACACGGAGCACTTGTGCTGCGGAAAGGGAAACCGGGGGCCTCTGCAGATCCCATCAGCCCCAAAGGCAGGGCTGGGAGACAAACAGAGCTCCTGGAGGGACGAGGGAGCTCACAGAGGGACACAGCAAAGCCCTGCTTCCCTCCTGGGAACCCCTGGGAGCACGCAGGGCTCCCTGCCAGGAGCTGAGGAGCAAGGCCTGGAGTGCCCGAGCCAGAGGGAATTCTGGCCACAGCTCTGCCAGCAGGTGACATCCCCGCGGCCAGCATCCCACCTCCCTGGCAGGCAGAGCCCTGGAGAAGCTCCCAAGGGAAACTTCCCTTCTTTCAGGAGATTTTAAACGCCCTGGGTTGTTCACCTACTGCAGTGCAGGCTCGCCTGAGTATCCAGCAAGAGCAGAAAGTTCTCCCTAAATCACTGTATCCCGGTTATTCCGCATAAATCTTTGTGCAATTCAGCTTTCTCGCTCCAAGAACAAACTCCAAACGAATTTTGCTTCCAGCCCCTTTGTTCCAGAGGATATATATCTACCTGCCCAAAAAAAAAAAAAGTGTGGCTTTGCTGACAGCCAGGAATTTTAATTAGCTGAAGAATACAGCCCAAACCACCTAGGTTTGGACAGCAACACTTATCCCACCTTCCCTAAAATAAAGCACGGGATTTGGGACAGAAAAATTCCTCCCAAAAACCGTCAGCATTTGCTTTGGTAAATAAAAAATTGGGATGCATAGCAGGGTAAGCTGGTATTTGCAACTTACAGAACACAAGTTAGTCAGAAGGAACACAAATTTAATGCAAAATACACAGTGCTGGTTGATATCAGTCCTTTTAATGACTGGGTATGCATAACAGGAATAAACACACAGATCATACTTGTTGTTTGGGTTTGTTTTTTTTTTCAAATAGACTCAACCACAAGGGTCAGGAGAATCCACGAAACAGTTAAAATTCAGAATCAGAAAGAACTGAAGGAAAAAAAAAAAAAAGAAAAGAAAATAAGCATTTGGCCTCTTCATACTAATTTCCTTTTTCTTTACATTGCTCAACATCGCTCCTCAATTTGAGTTCTAATCAACATCCACTTCACAGCTCACATTTTATGAAATAATGCAGTTGATGCAATCAAGTCCAGCAAAATGTTTCCCTAAAGATGTTTCCATCATTCACATTCCTTAAAAAATACCACACACACACACACACACACCAAAAAAAAAAAAAAGCTCTGACTTCCTCCATCACTATTTAACAGCAAAAATAAACACACCACTGCATCTTAAATCATATTCTGATTAAAACAGAAATAGAATCTTTCTGGGGTTTCTTTCTGCTTAGCACAACACGTCTTTGTCCAGGAGAGGGGGAAAAAAAATACCCTCAACCTGCTCATTTTTCTGCACTTGACAATAATGAGCACCAAATAAATAAAATTCAGCCTATGGAGATACAAACCATAACCCAAAACCCCATCACCATGTGCAGTGGGGGGCAAAAAACGCCCCCAGAACGCAACCCGCTGCAAAACCTCTTTCTGCTAATGAATATTTATTTCATTTCCATACTTCCAGGCTCCCCTGCTTTCTATAAAGGACTGAAACCAAGCTCCTTTTTGGCTTTATTCCCCCCACAATATAGCGATGGACTTCGCTGCCCTGAACGCCACAACGCCAACAACACAGCATTAAAGAGACATTTAAAAAAAGAGGGGGGAGGGAAAGAAAAGGGGGCGGCGTGGGGGAGGAAGAAATAATCCACATTTTCATTAAAAAAAAAAACCCGACCGGAACAGGCATTTTATCCAGGCAGAAAAATCTCAACACCGCCTTGCATTTCCCGACCTGGACGTCCCCGCTTTCATTCCTGTGGATGCTGCGCGCCGGCATCCCCCCGCTCCGCGCAGCCTTTAACCATTTTATGCCCGTTTTGTCCCGTTTTACCCCGGTTTTCCCCCCGTTTCAGAAGCGCCGGAGCCGCAGCCGAGGCCGGCGGGACGGCGCTGCCTCAGCCCGGCCGGAGTTGCCGCGGGCCCCTCAGCGCCCCCGGCAGCGCCGCTCGGGGCCCGCGGGACATTCCGGGGTTCGCCCAGCCCGGGGGCACCCCCAGCCCGGGCATCCCATCCCTGCCCCGGAGCGGGATGAGCCTGGAGCGGGGATGCAGCCCCGCAGGGGACACGGCCCCTGCCCAGGGGGGGACAGCGGGTTTTGGGGGGCACAGCCCGCTGCGGGGACAACAGGCTGCAGCGGGGGGATGGACGGGGACACCGTGTCCCCGGGGGGACACGGGCTCTGCCGGGCTCTCCCCGCCCGGGCTGGGGATGCTGCCCCTCCGCCCCCCTCCATCACCGCCGCTGTCACCCGGGGGTGTCCCCCCTTCCCTTCCCCTCGCCTTACCTGCGGCTGCTCGGGCGGCGGCGGCCCCTGTGCCGGTGCAGCAGCTCTCCCTCTCCTCCTCCTCCTCCTCCTCCTCCTCCTCTTCCCGCTGCTCCCGCAGCCGCCAGCCGGGAATGGGGGGGGTAGGGGGGGGGCAGTACCACCAGCGGGACCGTTACAGTCGCCGCCGCTGCGGGGACTACAGCTCCCGGCGTGCTCCGCGCTCTGCCGCCGCGGCTCGCCGCTGGCCGCCCCGCGCGAGGGGTCATGGGTAGTGTAGTCCGCGCTGCTGGCGGGGGAAGGACATAAGGCGACAGGGCCCGGACGGGCGCGGGGCGTGCTGGGAGGTGTAGTACGGCAGGGGGTAGAGCCGCCCGGCATGGCGGGAGTTGTAGTTCAGCGAGGCATGACGGGACCTGTAGTCCGCGAAGGCCGATGGGCGGCAGAAGGCCGCTGCGGGAATCCCACCGGGATGTGCCAGGTGGGGCTCCACGGCCATCCGCGAGCTGATCCCGGCTCCGGGAGACCCTTCCCGGGTCGCCTGGCGGACGCAGGGCCGCGGGCCGGTAGCGGGGAGCCGCGGGGCCCGGCCTTGCCCGCCGCCCTCACGGAGCGCTGCCCCTCCCGCTCCTCGGGTGCGGATCTGCCCTGGGAATCGGGGAATGGGGACGGGGCACCGGGGCACGGAGGATGTGTGCCATCCTTGTGCATTTCTCCCGCAGGATTCCAGCGGCACCACCGGGACGCGCTCAGCTCCAGGAGAAGGAGGCTCCGGAGGGATTTGGGGTGTTTGAGCCGGGGTGTACCCCGTCCCAGAGCGGGGATGGCAGGAACAGCAAAGGCCGTCCAAAGTCCAGCTCCGAACCCCCAGAGCTGCCGTCTCCTGGAATCTGGGGAGACCCCCTGTGGAAGGCAGGGATTTCCTGGGAGGTGGCAAGAGTTCTGGAAATTCCTGAAACGCAAGGCTGCCGCTGGGATGGGGGAGATCCCCAGCAGGAACGAGCCACTGCTGGAGGGAAAACAAACCAGAGGCATGGAAGTTCATGGATTTTATTAAACAACCCCCAACTCCTATGGAAAATGGGGGGGGGAAATCCAGGATCTGGCTCTTCTGAGAGTGTATTCCCACATGGCATCCTCTCCTTTCGCTGGCTGGAGATAATTTCCTGGCTCTTTGGGTCACCACATCCACCCAGCATGCCTCAAATTTATCCTATTTAACATTAAAAAAAACCCCACCCTAGTTTACAAAAAAGAAAATAATGGACCAAGCCCCCCAAATCCCAAACCGGCACCGTTTCCTTCCGAAGAGGAAAACAACACTGGAAAAGTTTTGACACCCATTAATTCCAATTAATATCTGTATGGAGAGGCAGCCCAATCCACTGGATAAATCAGGATAAATCCAGATTTCAGCCCAAACCCCTTCCTAAGGGAACTTTTTTCCGGACTCATGGCAGGACAAAGTCTCTAGCCCAGCCGGATTTCCCAACGATTTCCCTGATTTTGGGAATACTCAGCAGCACCAGGATGTTCTGCAGCCCCGCAGCCAGCACAGGGGACGCACAAGGCTGTGAGTGAGGGCTGGCTGAGGGGGTGATTCCCATTTAACTCCTTTGGGATCATCCAGCAGGCTGCTGGATTAATTTAATTCCTTCTAAAAAAAGAATTAACGCCAGCGCTGGAGGGAGAGGAGGGGAAAGGGCTTCACAATGAAAAACCTGCTGGAATAGAAAAAAAAAAAAAAATATATATATATATATATGCGTGTGTGTGTAGAAAAATAATTATTTGGATATATGCAACAAGCCAAGATTGCTCTCACATACAAAGCAGGTTAGAAAAACAACTGGATCAGGTACTGCAAGTTGTCAGAAAGGTTTCAAGAATCACACACTGAGTCAGTAAAGGATCAGCTGATGGACAGAAGAACGAGAGAGAATGTGTTCTGATAGCAGAAAAAGATCTTAAATTTCAAGGTTGAAATGAAATGCTGGTAAATGGTTTTATGTAGTTTGAAAGAGATAAGAAATTTGTAGATCAAGAAAGTATATATATATATATAAATACAGTGCTGCCATGTGCTCAATAAACATCTTTTATTAAATGTTTTTATTAACAGCCTCAGCTGTCACCTGACTTGTGTCTTGACTTCCCAAATAATCCAACCTCATGTCCCAGAGCCCGGGACGGTTCTAATTCCAGCAGAAGCCAGGACACGCCTTGATTTTGACCCAGAGGGTCGGAAATTTATTTCAGACGAGTACTTCGGTGCGTAAAACTTGAGTTTCCCCGGTTTATTCCGGCATGAAACACCTCCTCAGCGCCATTCTCAGGAAAACCCCAGGCGTCGCTCCCCGTGCCCAGGGCTTTTTTTTGGGGCTAAATGTCGGGAAAGCGGGGTTTTCCCGGCGGGCAGCGCTCGGGGACGCGGTGCCGGACTACAGCTCCCGGCGAGCCGCGCGGGCGGCGGAGCCGGGCGGCGGGAGCGGAGCGCGGCGCGTCCCGCAGCGGCACCGCCGCCTCCGCCCGGTGAGGGACGCGCGGGGCGGCTGCGGGGCCGGGGCGGCGGGCACGGACACGGCGGGGCGGACGCTTCTCACAGCGGGCACGAACCGCGCTGCCGCGAAATTTGGGTGCGGAGCGAAATTTGGGGGGATGTCAGGGGTGCGGGCAGCAGATGTGGGGAGCGGGGGTTGTGAGCGGCGCAGGGGATGGGGGTATCCACGGGCTGGGATTTCCCGGGGATGGGAGCAGGGCTGCAAAGCCCACGGGGAGCTGGATGCTCGGGGGTTCGGGCACTCGGTAACGCAGGCACAGAGGTGCTGCGGGGTGTTTGTGCCTTGCCGTGCCCCCAGAGCCGGTGGGAGATCTGAGTTGCCGTCACTGCGAGCTGGGATTCCTGGTGGGTGTTGGGGATATGGCTGGGGAACTGCTCCTGCCTGTCCCTGGGGTGCTGGCTCTGCTCGGGGACCTGGGGAGCGATGACTTCATGGCCTTATTAAGGACTAATTTCCATCCAGGCAGGGAAAATAAACAAGTGTAGGTGTCGCTTAGCATGGAAAGTTACTGGGGCTGTGGGGAGGCACTGCCTGTTTTCATACACGGCCCGGATTTCTGCACTTACCTCCACGGGCCGATAATCCCTAAATCCCAATGAGATTAAAGGCAGGAGGAAAGGTGGCCCGAGTGCCTCCTTCGCTTCCCAGATGACGAAATCCCCCGATTAACCCGGGCGCTGAGCTCATCCCCCCAGAAATACCAGGAGCAGCAAGGGTGAATCCCCATCCCCGGAGGCCGTGGGGAGGTGGGAGCCATGGGCAGGGCCGGGGGCGAGGCAGGAGCTGCTCTTTTAACCCCGTTATTGTTCCCATCCCGGCAGATCCGGCCAAGCCCACGGCAGCCATGGCGCTGGTGAAGAGCGGTTGGCTTTGGCGCCAGAGTAAGTGCCACCCTTGAGCTTTCCGGGTTGGGAGCCCCCCCAAAAACACCTGGAGAGGGTTGCAGGGAAGAGGTGGGGTGTGGGGGACGCACGGAGCCCCAACCTGGGCGGGTAATCCACGGCAGCAGGGAGATTGTGGCTCAGCCGCTGGCGGATTTACGTCAGCGGAGAGAGGGGCTGCCTGCCATGAAAACACACGCGGCTCCGTGTCCGGGGCTGGACCCGCTCCCGCGCCTCGGCAGGGCAGCACCCAACGGCCTGATGGCTTTTTTGGCAGCCTTTTCCCACTGACAGCCACCTGCTCACGCTGCCCCGCGTGCTCGTGCCAGGCACAGGTGTCCTGTGGGACGGAGGGAATCGCAGGAGGGATCCAAGTTTGGGGGATGAGGCTGTGAGCGCGCTGGCCGCGTCCCACCGGGCTCCTGCACCTTCTCCCTGTCCCACCAGGCTCCATCCTGCGCCGCTGGAAGAGGAACTGGTTCGTGCTCTACCTGGATGGCAGCCTGGTTTACTACCACGACGAGACGCAGCGGGACATGGACGGCCGGATCCACATCAAGTACAGCTGCCGGGACGTGCGGATCGGCCGCGAGTGCAAAGGTGAGCCCAGCCCCTGCTCCCGAGCCCTGCATTCCCAAACCCCATCCCACGAGGCTCCACCTGTGCACATCCTGCAGACCCCCAAAAGAACCCATTAATAGCCCCAGGCTGCCCCGTTCACCCCTCCTCGCTCCCAGCCGGGAGACGCTGGATGGTCTCTGCCATTGCTTTTCCCGGGGAAGGAGGGAAGGAAGGAGCAAGGGAGGAAGGAGGAACTCTCTCTCCTCCTGGTTTGTGCTTGTAACAAACAGGATCCCACGGCCCTGACTCATCGCTCACGTCTCGCACAAACAAGGGAACAAAGCAGCAGCTTGGCGGGGCCCCGCAGCCCACGCCGCCGCACAAAGCGCCTTTCTCGGGCTGGCAGCGGCCGTGGGAGCACAATCCCACAGCTTTGTGGTCCTGCCGAGCTTCAGAACGGGGAAGACACATGAGCCTCAGGGATTTAAGATTTTGCTCTTGCTGGAGCTCACGATCCCACTCCAGCAATGAGCATCTCCCCTTCCTACAAAATTTGGGTGCGCTCCGCAAAGTTCAAAGCAAAGGCAGCCTCGAGCAGATTTTCGGCAGTTTGCTGCCCTTCCATGTTCTTTCTGCCATGGGGGTGGAGGTTTCTGCCCATCAGCTCATTCCTTGTGCTGGCTTTTAACCTGTGAGAGAGCCTGACTGCATCCAGCCAAAACGAAACCCACCAGCCTCTCGTGCCAGGAGGAATGTGGAGCCTGGGGAGGGTCTGTGGGACATCTCCTTGGCTGAGGCTGGATCCCACCCCATCCCTTCCCTCGGCAGACGTGCAGCCGCCCGAGGGGAGGAGCCGGGACTGCCTGCTGACCGTGGTGCTGCGGGACGGCTCCAAGACCACGCTGTGTGCCGAGAGCGAGGACGACGCCGTGTAAGCGACTTTTCCATGCCAATCATCCCAGCCTGGAAAGGGCCCGGGCTGCAGGAGAGCCCTGTCCTGCTCCCACCACATCCCACCCTCGGCTAAAGCTGCCCCCAGCCCCTGTTCTCAAACACACTTGCAGGGT